TGACGACGAGGTAGTAGTTGACCAGACTTCACCGCTAGTTTTAGGCCGAAACGGCCTGCTTGGACGGCATGTTCGTCATGGAGGGGTGCTGTCTGGCAGGCTTGCTGTAGATAGAATCACCGTCGCGGGGGAAACCAGCCCAGACCGGGAGCTCCAAACTTCGCTCACGCTACAACACCCCCTCTGGGTATTTTGCTGTGCTCATAAATGAAATTGCTATATTTTGTTCTATGTTTGTTCGATCGCCACACTCTCATAATGATTCGGGTTCTGCCATCCAATTTACATATGTGTAGGTCTTGTGTTTGTTCGGTTTTCATATGTGTATGTCTGTCAATTCGCGAGTGTTCTTCGTTCATATATCTTAAGGTGTTTGACATGTAATATGTCGGTGAATAAAACCCCAGGGGGTTTTGGGGAATGAAGACCGATGATGCCTTGGCCCTGCGGACTCGCCAGAAGGGCAAATCGAGCGTCTGTCGTTCTTCGTTTCTTTTTCCTCCTTAGGAAGGCTCCTAATTTTGTCTATTATTTCTTGCGCTCTCGACAGTGTATGCACTTGTATGAAAGAACGTCTTCCCGCCACTTTTCAAAACAAAAAAAAAACACACACAACGTAGGTTCTCATTTGTTAGACGATCACAGCCAAGGCCAAACTTTGAATTTTTGAATTTTTCGCGGGCCTTTCAAACTGTTTCAAGGTCAAATTTTAAGGCGGGAAGTTTGGGTTATCACAGCAGTTTCGCAATGTAGTTTCGCAACTAATTAAATAATCTAAAAATATCACATACTGAAATGATAGCTAGAAGGGAATGTTAAGAACTCACTAAAGCCTCTACAAACTGTTACTGGAATTTTAACTTTTTCTGATACTTTAGCTCTTCTAGTCCTTTGTCTGCATATGCCCATTCTTTTAAATTTATCTAATGCTACAAATTATTTTGGAGAAATAAGATCTTCGTTCTTGGACAGAATGTACCATATTAGAACATGGTACACGTATGTTTTAAGTAGGGCATAGGGATAGCACTCCTATCTATTTCATTCAAAAAATGAAGCATAGGAACTCCTGCAAAATTTTTGTTTATTATGGTTTGTGATTTTATTGTTTTTAAGAAAGATAGAAGCACCAAAAAGGGTTTACACGTAATTCTTTAATTTTACTTCATAGCCTATTCCAAACGTTTTTTAGGTCAAAATCTAGCGTTTTCGTATAGTTTTGTATACATACTTTAGTTTGTTTGCGGAGGGTGTAGTGACAATGGTTTAAAAGTTGTGAAGGAGAGCAATATGTCGTTAATAGGTACCTATCTAATTAGAAGGTAGAGTGAGTGTTGCAATATTTTCTCGAATAAAACGAAACACAGTAAGATGTATAGTGAGAACTGAAAGATCATTATAGTTATTTATGTATTAAGGGCATAATCAGGGAGATTGTGGCACGAGGGAATGTTTAAAGCCCGACGAAGGAGGGCTTTTAATTTCCTGAGTGCCACAATCAACAATTATGCACGTGGTACATACAACGTTTTATTCTATTTTAGTTTATAAACTATTTTTAACGAAATATTGAGTATTTTCGGCAAGACTGTGTGAATTGTGCCGATGCGAATTTTAATACATAGCTGGCTATTATTTTGATGTTGTTATGGATACCACGTTGATTATTTGATAATTCGTTTTTCAAAATGTAAATTAAAGAAGCGGAAAACGTTTATTCAAACGAAAGTTTAGAAGAATTTGAAGTTGGTCAGGTAACGATTTGATAAAATATTATTTTTCCAACTTAAGAAAAACGTTGAATATCGAAGCGTGTTTGAATAATTAATTGATTAGTGTAAATGAACAATCAATTGTTGCTTAGCAATTTTTGACAGATTTGTGCTAAAAAGGCCAATTTAAGCCCGCATTTGGGTGCTTATAAATAAGATTATGGTTCTAAAATAGAATAAAAATAGTTTATTTAAAACCTATCCGGTTTATGTGACAGTATGTTGTTATAATGTTTTAAAAATTAGTTATTATTTTGAATATCGTTTCCAATATTGTTACTGAAAGGCGCATGCGTTAATGTATAGTTGGTTGTCTAAGACACCTATTGCGAATACTACCTTTTGTCTTTCCCACATTTGTTATATTACCTGGTCATAGCATTATTCGTTGTTTTGTATTGTGATTGACCTACCAACATTATTAGTGTTTCCAGTTCGTGAATGTTAGCTATAAAACCCGCCTTACATTTCTTAATAATCTGTGTTTTCTTTTACATGACGTTCAAGAGTTAGCTGCCATAATTTTCGGTTAGGTAAGTCGTTAAACATTTAGATATTTTGTATTTGATATTTTAAAGTATGTATGTAAATATAGGACATCGATTTCTAAAACCGTGTTAGTTGCAGTAACAATAATAAACAATTTATATTAGGCAATGGAATGCTTGCATTATTTATCACACCAAAGGTGTCTATTTTTGTTATATTTATTTGTTGACTTTTTATAATTGGTGCTATTGCTAACGCAAATGAGTCATGCTCTATAGTTATTTGCAAATTGCATATAACATTGAATTTAATTTTTAATATTTTCCAATTTTACCTCTGTTGTTATAAAATAAAAAAAATGGTCGAAGTTTATTTCGACAGAAATTCCCTCGCTTTTTTGAAAAATTCTAAAAGTAGATTTTGCTTTGTTTGTTTTGGGATAACTAGAGACGGCAAAAACATTTGCATGAGTATTCTAAATTATTGGGCATATTGAACCCAAACTTGTACAGATATGTTTTTTATTGATTTTATGTTCAATTAGGTAATTTTTATTTCCATATTTTGCTTGCACCTGTATATAACGGCATATTGCACATAGTTGCAACTGTATATTTTTGGTTTTTGCTGCATATAAATGCATATTTTATAAGTAATTCCCATTCTTTGCCTTTTATTTTTATTGCTGAAAGATTTTTTGCTTGGCGCTTGAATAGGTCAGGTAGTGAACTCAAGTGTATCAATTGGACAATGTGTTTATTCTGGTCGTTAAAAAGAGATTTTTCAACAGTTGGTAAACAAAGAAATTTGGTTATTTTTCGCTTTTTTTTCTTTTCTTCAATAAAAAGTTTACTTTGTTAATCTGTTTACCTCTTGAACGTCCGGCCATACGAGTTTATTAGTGGAAACAGATTCACTGTTTGCTATCTTTTACACTAGGTCTTGTGTCAAAATGAAACTGCAAGTGAATTTTAAAACACATACAAAATAATCTAAATGAAACGCATGAACCGAATGAACGAAATTGTAATAAAAACGAATTCTTTTTTAAAAAACTGATTTATCTAAATATTGTCGTGTAAAGTTCGGCGAAAGATACACGGTTTTGATATTTTACAGTGGCTCCAGTAAATCCGCTTCTCTTGTAAGAGTAACAAATAAAAATTATTTCAATACGGCATGTTACCTACTAACTGGCCTAACGTCTGTATAATGTGTTATTAGTGTTATTACCTAGAGTTTCTCACTGAATAAAAATATATTGGATGATAAGCAACAACATTTTCTTGTAGAAAATTAAAACAAATCTTATTGTAATTAAAATACATATTAACAATTTGTATTTATGTATTAAAAAATTCCATTGTAAAGAAGTACCTAAATGACGTAAATAAACCAGAAAAGCATAAACGTCTTTTTGTATCACAAATCATCTTTCAGTAATTTTTCATCAACGAGTTGTCGACATAACCCGGAATCATAAAATGTGAAGGAAACACTTGTTTTTGAATTGATACGGCGTATTTTAGTACATATTTCACCCGTTTTTTAAGGCCTATTGTAGTGCATATAGGTAAGCTTTATCTTTAGTGCATATCTGCCCGACTCTAGTGATAATCTCTATAAAGTAAAAACCAACGGCATAAATAACGCGCCCGCAGCTCCTCCGCCGTGGGGGGCAAAATGCAACGGAATGTGCAAATTGCACAAGGACGGATTATCAAAAAACATTTAAAGCAGGTAACTAACAGGAAAAAATAAATGCCCTCTTAGCAGTAGAAAACAAAACAAAATTTGACAACAATCGGTCCAGCAAGCTTTCTTTCGATGTATAAAGAAGCACTTGAAAATGCTAGTTTATACATTTGAAGAATGTCACGCAAAAATTTGTTTGATTTGAACATTTTGAATGAGTTGGTCGCTTTAAAACGGGACTAAAATTATTGGTTCAGCCGCAGTCGAACAGAATGTTCTGAATATTATTACGAATGTCATTAAAATTTTTATTAAATAAAGACGGGCGTATTCTCACCTTGTCAAGAAAATGGGGTGACTCGTTCTAAATTTGATCAATAAAAAATTCTTATGACGTCATAAACATAGATAATACACAGTGCGAGAGAAAAAAAGAAAAACAAAAAAACGAACGGCCAAGTTTGGAATCGAACGCGGGACGGCCGGTCCACGTTCAGCTGAGCTCTTACCCGCTGCGCCACAATCTGTATGTCGTACGCTAATGATAAACTCTTATTATGCCATCCAAATGTTTTTGTGAAAATTTGGACGGTTAAGGAAAAACTCAATGCGGATGCGTACACCACACGTATAGGAAATACATTGTTGTATAACATTACATCATACAAACATAGAATTTTTTGAAGTGACGTCATCAAATTGTTGGTGAGGATGATTAGCAAAATTTTGATTTGCATTTAACCATCTACATGATACTTCTATTATACTATATACAAAATTTGACAACAATCGGTCCAGCAGTTTTGGAGATTAATAAAAATGGATACAGACACCGGACAGACGGAAACAGGAGATACTTTTTTCGTACTATAGCGGTCATGAAACGTCGAAAAAACATAAAAGTGGCCATTCGTCCGGTGGACTCGATTACTATATATCCTTAGCTTACGCTCGGGAAGCAATAAACATCAGGACCTTCTAAGATTCCTTCAAAATCTTTCAAAAATAAAACACTTGGTCCTCCGAAGAGTAAAAAAAAGGTAATTACTAAAAGTTATTTATTAAAAGAAGTATATAAAACATAATATCTGTTATATATCATTTCAGAATGCTCGAGCTCCATGGAATATTTTTCATTTTTGATGTCTTTCTGAAAAGGGAAATATGCTTTACATAAATAACACCATATTATTATTTTGTCCCTCCTTAATATCTATATTTGCCTCGAAATAACTAAAATGGAAAGTCCATGGTTCATCAGCCGAGCATTTGGATGATTTTAAACTCAGCACAGAGGGCTTCCAAGACTTCTTTGTTGAATTTGGTTTGCTTTGGTTGACTCTAAACTTGGGCTGTTTATTCTCATCTCCTTTGCCTCCCTCAGAATTTTGTTGTAAGTGTTCATCGTAATAATAATAATTTCATTAAAAATAAATGAAAAAATGACTTAATATAGAAATAATTAACAGGTTATAAAATTCTACCAGTGTTGGTCATAGAACTCCTCCCACTTCTTCATCTCTTCATTAAAATGATCAAGCATCGCCTGATTGTAATCGTTTGTGTAGATTTCCGGAAAACCATTCCGTATGCTTGAGCCATAGTGACACTGTTCCCAAAGATTGGTCAAAGTTATTTTACTTTCTTCGATTAATTTATGTAAATTATGGTCTCTGAAAGTTTCTAATCTTGCAACTTCTTTAGAAAGATGTTGCACGAGTTGCCTTTGGGTATTTTTGTTGATTGTAGGAAAGATATTTTTTCGCTGGCTGAGAAATGAAGACTGTTCCATAATTTTTCTCGCTGGTCTTTCAAACCATTAATCTCGCATTAATGGTTTGAAAGAACTGCTAGAAAAACAATTATAATAATAAGATATACTATTGACACTCAATGTTTGACATTTTGATTCGTCTGACAACTCTAGAAATTTACCCTGTTTGTTTCATCTAAATGCAGACCATAATCTTGAATGATGCAATTTCCGTTATTTTCGTATAAAATTTATTTTCTGTAGGAACGGCTCTTTGGTCTAAGGATTCTACTTTCTCTTCGGATAGCGGAGATATGACTTCTGGAAGAGTTCTAAAAGATTGTCCTAGTTTCTTCGCCAAAAGTTTTTTTATGCCCTCCAGTTCTCGTGCTTGTTTTTGTTTTTTTCTTCATACACGATTTCCAATCTGTAATACGCAAAGACTATTAAGAAAGTTATGAAAAAAGGTTTTACTCTTGCAATTTTGTTTTCAACCAGTTGTAGTTTTTACTTAGAGGCATGTCTTTGATCTGGTTTTCTTCGAACAAGTTCACATCTAATATGGATACCAGCTCCTTTCTCCTTGGTACATATGTATTTTCCTATTAAATCAATGTATTTCTCAGATATATTTTGGGCTCTAATAATCCAGCGTTCACACATCGTTTTTAATTCTTCCTGTACCAATTTGATGTGGTCTACGTTTGCTTCTTGGTCCTTGTCCACTGCAATGATAATCTCTAGCCATTGTAGTACAAATTTACTTTGGGGTGGTAATCATATCATCATGGACTATATGAAGCCATGAATAATAATCATTGAATCTAGAAAACAAATTAAATTAGTAGCATGTTTGCGCAAAACAGTTTCTTATACAGTTTTCCTTATGCTTACACTTATAATTTATAATTATAGTTATAAGTATAATTGTAACAGTTATGCTGACGGCTTAGGACCTTACATTGGCAAGCAGAACTGACTTTCTGGCACGTAAATTGATTAATTTTGCACATGAATTATTTAGAAATTTTGGCGACTTGTGGCAATATAGAAGATGTTCAGAACTACTCAGTGTATCAGTTAATACAAAAAGAGTTTCTTTTTCAGTTGCGACATAGAGTTCTAAATGACACTGATTGACATTGTAAAAAAATTCTATTGTTGTCAATATAAGATGTAACGATTATGAGTGTTATAATCATAAGACATAAGTTATAAGGATAAGTGTAAGCATAAGGAAAAATTTATAAGAAAATGTTTTGCGCAAATACGCTAGTATGTGGTTACTACCATTGTTTATACATAGATACAGTGGTTTTGAAGGACTTTTGTCACACAGGTTTTCCATTCTCTAAAATGTACAAAATATGAGTCTGTACTTGTGATTTATCATTCCATTCAAGTTCTGTCGAAACAACTTTCGACCAATGTTTTGTTTTTGTTAATGTAAAAATCTCATTCTAAATTAATCTAAGCTACACGTCAAAGTCACGCGTGCTCTTGCCTTGAGTGCACCTACAAAATATATTCAACAAAATTAAAAAAAAATACAAATTTATAATTAAATTATCATCTATTTTTCCTCTTATTTTATATGAAACATAAAAAAAAGGTTGACCATGTTTTTAAAACACAATATTGCCAATTGAAATTTTAAAACTACAACCAACTGGAATCATTTCCAAGGAGAATGTGGAAAACTGATAGTTACTAGGACCCGGTTTATAGAAAGCGAATTAAAGTTAATTCGCGATTAACTTTTAATTGAGACCCGTTGTTAGGTAGCGTGTCTGTTAAAGTAACCGAGGATTAAATATTTAATTCGCTTTCTATAAACCGACCCTAGATTTTTTAAAACAGCATATATTGATACATGTTGTACCGACAACCTACTTAGAACGTTTTCAAAACTAGTGTTCAACCAAATTAAAAAATACTATATCAAAACATAGCGGTTGTTTCACTTCTTAAATATTTTGTGCCTTTATGCCTGATGACATATTTTCATATTCTATCCTCCAAATACTTTTGTCTAAGCCATCACTGGATTTGTCATGGATTAACTTCTGCCATAGTATTAACGCTCTTTAAATAATATACTTGTTACTTTTAGCTAGTTCAACTATGATTTCTTTCATATCGTCTTTTGTTATAGTTGCGTAATCTGTACTTTAGCAAAACCCACGTTTGTGATTTTTTGCAGAATTTCGAATTTATCAAAAACAAAAAGCGTGCCAATAATTGGTACAGAATTATCCATATCCATTATATTATCTATAATGTAGCTGTGAACTGAGTTAAGTAATACAATAGCCAGCTTGACTTATAAGGATGGTTTGGCTTAAGCCGCTTAATATTTCTTACCATTGTACTACTGTCCGCCTCGTTATTGTCAATAAAATTTTTATAGGGTACAACGATATTTCGTAAACTATACAAGGTGGATAAAAAAATTAATGAATCAGTCAATTTCTTTTATTGATTAAATCAAGAATTGCAAAACTGAATACTTTGAAATCTTGCAAACGTTTTAAAGTTATTGTAAACTTTATGTATATCCTAATTATAAGTCAAAACTTTTTTTAATTGACAGTTGCAGTATTACTAAAATTTTTGACATGTTATTTAAGAGTTTCTATTAAGTGAAATAAATATTTAATTCGAACTAAAGTTTAATAATGTGCGATTAACGCGTGAATATGAACAACTGCTTGGTGGAATTTGATCTCGTGGTTGATAAATTTCGTGGTTAAATTAATGACGTGATTATGTGCTTGTATAAATCGGGTCTAAATCATTTAAATATCACAAAAATTATGCCACGTGACTGTTGGTCCTTCAAATAAAATAACATGATAATTTACAGAGGACGGTAAGCACCTTTAGCCTTAAAGACAAAAAAATATAAATAGATTTGAAAGTGAAAACTATTGCTGAGACATCTGAAAGATCGACTGCAGTTCAAATTTTAGACACTGGTGAGCAACATAAGTCCTGATTCCAAGAGGTTCTGAAAACAAAATGTTGAGTCTATGCTTAATCGATACGATTGCATAAAAAGTCATTGAGGTGTCAAAACCTTTACGTTTAAATTCAATTTTTGACAACCAGAGGGAAATAGGTAAAGAGTTGAAAAAATACTAAGCATGACCATAGAATAAACAGATGGATACATTAGCGTACATTCGCATCTGTGGTCAGCGACGCTAATTGCCAATAGCGACGCCTGATTTTGGTACCATCGGGGACACGGAAAACTGGGCAGAGCTGTCACACAATTGTCAAAATTTCTAAACCAAGCCTTAGCTATTCATAACCATGCTTTTAATGTTTGGCGTATTTCTCATTTTGACATTGACAAAGTCGAAATTTTATTAAATTTGATTCAATTATATTAACATGCAGCTACTGCTCGATTGATTTATTTCAAAGTTAATTTGACAGTTTTTTCGAAAATATCAATCATATTGACGCTAAAGGTGCATTTACATTGACATTTTTTGAAATGACAAGAACAGACTACCCAGAATTCCATGTCCCTCATAGTAACGTTAATGTTATCGAAATCTGTTCGTAATCGATATATGTAATTAATAAAAAAAATGGTATTTGTATTTGTATACACTACTCAGACCTACTGGTGCTAACTCATTTTGACTGACATGACCCGACCGTTGAAGAAACTTACGAACAAAATGAAAAGTTCTTCATGTTTTGGTTCAAGAACCATGGTCATAACATAACGTCTAAATATAAAAGCACTGGAGCAAGCAGATAACCGTAGATCTTCCTGTTAGAAGTCCAAGTTGGTTTACGGAAAGTATATTTTGCTCGTTAAAAAATCGAAACATTTAATTCCATATGACTTTCCACAACCTTGTTACATATGATAGGTCTATAATTCTCTGCTTTTATTCTATCGCCCTTACTAAAAACGGGAGCCAAACCGGAGAAAGAAGTGTGGTCTGGAATGATGAGAGGGTCCACCCATTTTGTGTCACAAGTCTTTTTTTTTCACGAAATACTTAGTTTTATTACATCGTTTTAAAAACAGGACAACTAACGTTGAAACTGTTTATAACTAAAAAAACTAGTGTTCAAATTGAATCAGTGATCTCACAGACGCAACTATTTCAAACCGTTCAAAACCAACTTGCTTTATTTACTTTATTGCTAGATCTATTTAATGGAAGCGCAAAATTTTTCATATAATTAATTAACATGTCAAAAAAATATGAAAGTCAGCAATCGGTAAAAAAATGTGAATAGTCATCTACACCAAATATGCCGCATTTCTAAAGCTCAAGAAATACCGCTGGTATCCTGAATTTTTCATTAAATTTTGAGATATTGATGTTATTGTGGTGCTAGAATTTTAGTTAAGTTTCTGGGATGGACGAGTGTATAAATTAATGTCATAAAGTATGCTGCATAAGAAAAAATGAAAATGAAATAAAAATACAAAAAGCTGTTACTAAAGCACAAGAAATACATTAACTTTAATACGTGCGATGTAACTCTAATAAACATATTGTTACCTACTGTGAACCCAGAATTTCCGAAGAAGTAAACGGAAATGAATGAAATAAATTCATAAAACAAATCTGTTCCTTCATATGTATATTTTTTGAGACATCTTGTGTAATTAATAAGCATAAGCATGTTATTGAAAATTACATTTAATGTTTTAAGATCACGCCGCCACCGATAAAAAGAGAGGTGTTAAGGTCACACCAAAAACATCAATGAAATCGTTTATTTTAGATCTTTAATAATATTTATTTAACAAAATTTTAAGATAATGTTATTGTTTCTTTGGGAAAGATGGTGAATACGTAAATTTTAGTTAGCCGTTTACTATTAAGGCAATTTTAGTGTCCTGGGTTCAGTAGGTGTGAAGATTCTCTGCACAATGAAGTCGCCAACAGATTGAAGGAAACGGGAAAGTTGCATTTGCATATTTATCAGTAAAATACCGTATTAGCTGTGCCTCGAAGTTTGGTGTAAATAATAATTTTACAGTTCTTATTAAAGCTACTCAGTTGAAACAAATGAGAGAATTAACTATATTATACTGTATCTACTTTTATTATATTAAGGCTACCATTTTATTGTGTTGCCATATTATGTTTAATTTTTTTTCGTGAAATGCATCTCTTTTTTAATTCTCGGTGAACCGTAGCAATTTAACTCAACCATACAAGGGAGTGTTTGCCCAGTTAACAAGTTCTTAATGGGAATCTCCCTGCCATGCAAACAGCATTGATCATTCAGGGTTTTGAGATTCTGAGGGTAAAACCATCCACACGCCAGTCTACGTTCAAATATTCATGGGGCCATTGAATTGCCAAGTATTGCCTGGCAGCATATCAATGGTCTTATTGAAATAGCTTGACGCATTAAGAAGGAACTTTCGGGTTTTTTATCCCCAAGGAGGTCATTATGATCTCGTTAATAAAAAAAACTCAAGTTAAAGGGCTGTTAAAATTTTAGCTTGGCGAAGACGTTTGGAGAGGATGTTGGACGTTGAACATTGACATACTTTTTATTTTCCGAGCGTAAGCTAGTATTGTAATAGGATCCATCCGACGAACGGCTAATTTCATGTTTTGGCAAAAACAGTAAGTAGGGTAAAATCATTAATCTAAATTTGACTGCTTAAACAACCTCTTAAAATTTTGGTAAAAAAATTATATCTAAAAACAAAATTTTGTTATGAAAAACTCACTGGAAACTTATTTATTTAAGAAACGGGATTGCAGTTACAGGGTAAGAGAAGTTCTATCTAAATAACTTTAGATCTTTTTTTTGAGAAATTACTGTTTAACTGTTTATATTGTCAATTTAATTGTAAACAAATGCATAACAAATTATACCTAATATGTTCTGTCGATTATCACAAAAATGGTCAGCTGTCAAAATTAACATTTTCAAATTTGCAAAATGTATCCAAAAAATAACCTAAATTTAGCGCGTGTGGCAATTGGCATACCTATCACGAAATTATTTCCGTTTTTCCAACATAAACCCAAGAAATGGGTACATTTTTACTCAAAAAGTACTGCCAACAATCTCAGTCTTTTCTGTTCACGCGATATTTATTACTAAGCTGACATCATTCAACAAAAAATTAAATATATCCTCGTTGAAAAATACGTCTTAAGATCTATTACTATTAAATGCTTCGGAGGGGAGGTAAATATGATGCAAATCACTTTGCAGCATTTTTCAGCGTGGTGAATTTTTTAGTGAAAGTTGAAACAATAATTTCATGAGGTTCAACATCACCACCTTATTAAACGAAAATAAAGCATCTTTCTGTTTCCATTGTTTTTGTCATGGTACCTGCGAATTAAGTGAAACCGTATTAAATTTCTGAACAGCTGTATCGTTTCGGTGGCTGTAGAAAGCGAAATCCGGGTGGCTGTGAATGATTAATTTCCTACTGGGACATGCGACCCCAGCGCTTTCTTTTA